GTATCATATTATGGTGGGTGTCATTTGATTGCGTCCACAAATCGAATAGGTAAAATTATTTTTTCTTACCTTTTTATGTTCCAATTGCGTCCTATTGTATAATATATAAGCATTCAATCACACTKTTGWAATATGATTTTAGTGATGATAATATTGAATACATTCGTAGTTCTAGGATTGATATACTTAGAAATTGATGAATATTGGGATGCGATGTGTAGAAAAAAAGAGAGCTTTCACGAGTATTTGTAGTACGCTGCATACTATTGGTCATTTTTKCCCGACACATTCATTTTGGATTTTCATATAAACTTTGAAGTATCTCTTGATTTTAAGGCATTTAACGTACCTATACTAAATCGCTACGTGATTTATTACTATCATAGTAAATCGATAAAAGTACCAGCCTTAAGATAAAATGTTCGTAAACTCATCAAGTAAAAACCAAATTGTGTTTAAATAAACCTTCACACCATGTGTGACAAATATATATTACATTTAATAAGTCAGTTAATAAGTCATTTAATATGTACCAACTTGAGGCTYACCTATTATAAAATAGGAAACAATCAGAACATAGAACAGATAAGAAGAAATCATTTACATGAGTCCGGGACGCAATCGACTAACTCCGCGCATGCAGTAATTGTTAGGAGAGACAGAGAATCTCAAACAATCGTTTAGGCTGGGAGACCAAGAGCTATGTAACTTCCTTCCTTTTCATACTACTTACAGGTGGTACTCGAAATGGCATACTTATTTGCTGTAACATTCCCAGTAAAAGTTACCAGCATAATAATTTTGTGACTTTTGMATGTTACATCACTGTATTTTACCTGATACGTAAACAACAATATATTATTTACTAACATTAATTTTACCAAATGGTTTATTCAGTTGCTCTGGATGCACATATTATGGTTTTTATTTACAGAAGTACCCTTTAAATACGTTGTCAAAAKACATTTACTTAAATCCTTACTTTATTTTATTCAAAGCTGTAATTCATTTATAATAGATACCTTCCTATCTTYAATCATGATTAACAATTTTAAAATGTTAACTTTATGTTTCATGCTTTATTTTGTAGGTTGTCATTCTAATGGAGAAAATGATGGTAATTATAATTTTATTTTTACTACACGAACAATTATTAAAATTAATATTTATAATTCTAATTTAAAAGCATAAACTTATTGTTATTTTATTAGATAATAATCTAAATATTTTACTCACTCATTCGTTCATAGAKAGGTATATACAATTTATTAGAAAGTATTAATGTAAATGATTAACGCCATTAACAATTACAATTTATTTGAATAAAAAGTTATTTTAGAAATTTTAAGTACCCACGAAAAATAATTTTAAATTATTACGATTATATAACTAAAATTGTTATACTTGGTTATTTAATATGTAATTTCATCCAAAATTGAACTTAAAATAACTATTAAAAAAACTGCGTTTTTATAGGTTTTAGAATTTTTTTATTACAGAATTAGCTACTTAACTATAAAAGTTAAACTATTCATGAAATGTTAGTAAATAAATAATTTGGAAATTTCCAATTAAATAAAATATGCTGTTAATATTTGAAATTRAAACGGTTATAAAATTAAAACGAGCCTAATATGTATTATTAATATTTTTCAACTGCTATTATATCAACTTATAGGAAACCTTATATTAAATTTTTAAGTGATTTKACCCAATGAATAAAATTATAACGACATTTGTAAACTAAAAAACTAAAAAAACGAAAAATTTAAAATGTCAATGAATATTATGAAAATTTATCAAATATAGGAATCGATAAATAAAAATATGGTATACATTTTTAGTTTCTTCAGTTATTCCTTTATGAATAACAGTATATTATAATAAGAATATCGGTACAAGAGAAATCGAGTTTATTATATTATTATCCTTATCCGAATACCTATATTTATATTTTAATTTGAAGTGTGTAATGAATAGGTGAAATATTAACTACCAATGTTAATAATAACAAAAAATATCCACTGAACCCATAATATTATATTGGATATTAGTAAGCTGGTGTGACGATCGTTTAAAATTCATGAAGCCCTATCTTGAAATGTAAAATAAACACATTTTTTATAACTTATATAGGTACTGATTTAGCGAAGGAAGAAAAATACAGAATTTGCATGGGTAAGTTATTTGATTTTAATTTAGAATGATACATCCAAGTTGACAACTTTTCTACAGCACAATTATTACTTATAAAAAGAATACATCAACATACAATATATCAATTACGAATAAACAATTTTTGTTAAAATTAAATTTAAAAACATTGATTCTTCATTTTTAAGTACTTGAGACATATTAGATGTATTATTGKAATATTTCTCATTAAAAAAAAAATACAAATGAATTCTGCACAGTTCTCGGACGCGTATATTATGTTTCGCGCCACCCGGCAAACGATCACCCTAAGGGTTAAGGTGGTGCGACTGCGCGACGAAAGTTCGCGAAGTTGTCAGCGCCACTGTTTTCGTCGYATGTCGCCGCCGAAACCTCTGCCCAGTTGTGACCAACGTGGCTTTTTTTTGTTCAATGGTTAAATCGCGTCCGCGATATTTTGGCCCCGCAACTTAATATTGTCGGCATAAATGCGTGGTCAGATTCCACGATAGTATTATCATGGTTGGGTGCCCCCCACGAAGAATTAAAAATTTATGTGTCGAATCGAGTGTACCAAATTCACACTTTACTGCCGGATTGTCGATGGCGGCATGTTGTCACGGTCAATAACCCTGCCGACTGCGCATCGCATGGCGTAATGCCGGCTGCCCTACCGCAGCACAAATTGTATTGACACRGCCCACAATTAGCGTACGGCAACCCATCGAAATAGGACGATGCTCGTTCGCCGCTACCGTTGTGTGACCTGCCCGAACTTCGACCAGTGTCCTGCGCCGCCTATGTTGACGAAACTGAAGCCGAATGGTTTAATAGTTTTTCTAATTACGACCGTATGTTACGAGTAATGGCGTATATGCGCCGTTTTATTGCCGCCGGTATTCAAATTGTCGACAGGTAAACATGTTTCGTCGAAGCCGCTTGCCCGTTTAGCGCCCTTTATCGACCCGGACGGCGTGATTCGCGTCGATGGACGACTGCGGCATTCTTTATTAGCGTATGATTGTAAGCATCCGGTTTTATTAGCTAAGC